TTTTTCGAAATAGCAAACAACCAGGGACTTTGGTAAAACGAAAAACGATTACTTTCTTAAATGGTATTTTTTGAAGGCGAAGAGTACATCACTATATATAACAATTTTTCTTTGAAATAGAGGTCACTAGATAAATATTGCCAAAGTCACTTTTCACCGAGACAGAAAATTTATTGTTTCAGTATCAAGTTGCGGCTCAGTTTTATCCTTGGCTTAAATTCTATTTCCCTTTGTTTTAAACTCATTACAATACATTACCATATTCCAAAACAAAGGAAAATAAAATTTAAACATAAAATTAAACCACAACATCTACACACGAAGTGATCTGAACAGAAACAGAAAGGGACTATTGGAGTGCGATTTGATTGACGGATCAACTTATGCGTAGAAAATGTGCCTACGCCGCTTGCACATCATTCATAATGCACCTTATTTGCCCCCCCCCCCGCCCCCCCAAAAAAAAATTGCATAAGCATTGTTTTCAATTTCTCTTGGGACGGCTGTAATACCCAGGAGAAATGAAAAAGAAGTGTTACGCAAAATTTTGGGGGGCGGTGCGTTATGGGACATGTGCAAGTGGCATATATGGCGGTAAACAGTACATACACAAAGTTAGATTTTATAGAATTTTCCAACATTTCAAATCACAGTTTCAATCTCGTGTTTACAAGTGAGAATGACTCGTTATTCAGGAGTGTTATTGTCTCCAAGTTTCGGTCACGTGAACAGCAGTAACAATGCATTTGGAATATACCCAAAAATGTTAGCTATACGCCACTTGCACATCTCCCATAATGCACCTTATTTGCCCCCCCCCCCAAATTTTGCATAAGCATTGTTTTCAATTTCTCTTGGGACGGCTGTAATACCCTGGAGAAATGAAAAACAAAGGTTATGCAAAATTTTGGGGGGCAAATAAGGTGCATTATGGGAGATTTGTAAGTCGCGTATTGTTGTCCTCAAAATAATAGCCTGTGAGCAACTAGGTGGCTCGCTTTGCTCGTCACTCGAAATGGAGAGCTTGCATGCTCTGCTTACAGGCAACTAAAATAATGGCAACTCCGATGTTATTGTAACACTGACCATAACAAATTTTCATCTTTATCTAATACAGCTGTAGTGGTCATATTT